CTCTCTCTCCCTCTCAGATCAATAAGAAGACTGGTCTGCCCATGATAAACCTGTACACCGACAGGGAGACGGGGAAACTGAAGGGCGAGGCCACTGTCTCTTTTGATGACCCCCCCTCGGCCAAGGCGGCTATCGACTGGTTTGATGGTGAGTGGGTTTGTCCGGGGGCTGGGCGGCTCATCGTCCCCTGTACTTTTGCAGTGGTGGTGTGGGGGGGGGGTTTCTGGCGTCACTTCCAGATGAAGACGACATTCCCTTCCTGAGTCGGAGAACTGTCCCGTTTAGCTCTCTCTCTCTCTCTCCGTCTCTCTGTGCCCCCAGGAAAGGAGTTCAACGGGAACCCGATCAAGGTGTCGTTCGCCACGCGCAGGGCTGACTTCGGGAGGGGAGGCGGCAACATGAGGGGAGGCCGTGGCCGAGGAGGTGAGCGCCCGGCCTGCCCGCGCCCTGCGCCGCTCGTCCTGGGAGCGCCGCCGCCGAGCTCGCTCACGCCTTCCCCTCCCTTCTCTCCCGCAGGGCCCATGGGCCGCGGCGGCGGCGGCTTCGGAGGGGGCCGGGGCGGCGGGTACCCCAGCAACAACGGAGGCGGAGGAGGAGGCGGCGGCCAGCAGAGGGCGGGAGACTGGAAGTGCTCGAACCCGTGAGTCTCTCGCGATCCTGGCGGGCGGGCGGGCTGGGCCTGGGCCGTCCGAGTTAACGTGCGGGAGCTGGGGCTGAGAGGAGGCGGGCGCCCTCCTGTGGCTCCGGCCGTCGCCCCGCCCGCTGGCTCAGCGCTCCGGCCTGCTCGTGTCTTCCAGGGTCTGCGGGAACCTGAACTTCTCCTGGAGGAACGAGTGTAACCAGTGCAAGGCGCCCAAGCCGGAGGGCGTGGGGGGGCTGCCCCCGATGGGAGGTGAGTGGCACCGCCGGGCGCCTGGCTGTGGGGGTAATCGCTTCCTGCCGTTCTTTCTGTCCCCTCCCCCTCCTGGGGCTTGAGCAGCGTGTTGGAGGCCTTTCCCACCTCTTCCTGACAGGGAACACACTCATTAAACGACCGGTCTCGCCTTCAGACTGTGGGATGACGGGTGTTTAGTTCTGGATTGGTGTTGATTCTCAGCGGTATCTGGTTTTGCTCTCTGCTCACCGCGCCGTTTCTGTTGTCTCCTTCATGAAAAGTGCCTTAGAGGTGCCGAAACGGACTCTTCTGCTCCCTATAACCCAGTCCAGCAGAGAGCCGTCCCCCCCCCTCCTCCTCCTCCTCCCCGTGTCTGTACTGCGGTATACTGTAGTATCCGTCTCGGCGCAGGACACTAAACCCTGTTTCTACCCCCCTCTCTCTCCCGGCAGGTGGATTTGGGGGTGACCGAGGGGGCCGCGGGGGCTTCGACCGAGGAGGGTTCCGTGGGCGAGGAGGAGACCGGGGGGGCTTCAGGGGGGGCCGCGGTGGCGAGAGAGGCGGATTCGGGCCGGGCAAGATGGACGGCAGGTAAGTGGGAAGAAGTGGCGCCGCCGTGAGCTTTCCCGTTGCGTGTGGAACGTGAGGCTCACTCCTCCTTGGCCTGTCTCCATCTCCGCAGGGGCGAGCACAGACAGGACCGCCGGGACCGGCCGTACTGACCGCCTCTCCGAGATCCCGGGACCAGTATCCCCCCCCACCGCCCTCCTCTGTAGTTACCCCCCTCTTTTTTTTTTTATACCGCGTGTTTTTAAGTTGTGGCTCCAGAACTTTTCGTCCAGACGTCCGCTTTGCCGATGTTCAGTGTTTTGTAAACTTGCTGGTTTTTAATTTTCCCGCTGTTTTGGAACAGCTGCGCGAATCAGTTGAAAAAAATAAACTGACGTTTAAAACTCGTGTGCTGGCGTTTTCAGTTAAAAAAAATACTGACGTTTAAGACTCGTGTGCTGGCGTTTGTGCTCCGGCTGGCTGGGGTTGATCACGCTGGTCTGTTGACCTTGTCCTGGCTTGGGGGGGTTCAGTCCCGAGAGCGGTGGGTTTCACCGCGGTCCACTCCCTTGGCCTAAGAGGATCCGTTTCTGGTTTTTGACGCGCCGCAGTGAGGAGGTCAGGGCTGGGCTGCCCGTCGAGCAGGTCTGTTAATCCCACCTGGCTACACACCCCTGGGGTGGAGACCAGGCTCTGTGAGACGGCCTTTGTATCTCCGTAGTATGTAGTCAGCTGGCCTGCCTCTTAATGGAGGAGTTCCAAGTAGGGAGCTGTGTCGGCATGCAAAGGAACAAATAAAGGTTTATTCCACACTGAAAAGGAGAAAAACGTTTCGGCTGTGGAGCAACCCACCCACTTTTCTTCCCTTTGTGGTTCAATAGGATCATAAATTTTATTTTATATAGGTGGTTCTCAAAGCGCTTTACAGAAATAAAAAAATAAACAGAGGAGGTGGGAGATGGGGGCTTGAAATACAATAGGAAAGCTGGGGGCCACAGGGGACCAGTTTAAATAAAAGCCCTTCTGAAGGGAGGGTCTTGATTTGGAAGAGCTTGGGGCAGATGTTTCCCGGACATCCTTGGGGATCGAATTCCGGAGCCTGGGACTGACGGGAGATCAGAATTGCACAAAGGCTGTGAAGAGTGCGACAGCAGTAACTAAGAGTTCACATAGGTAGCTGCATCAGTGTGTGTAGTCTGCAGAGGGACAAGTAAAGGGTTTTTTTTCCATGCTGAAAAGAAACGTTTTGGCTGTGGAATCGTCTCCGGGTGTGAGAGGGAAGTCGACAGCTAAAAAAGCAGGGGCAAACAAAAGCCAGCAGGGGAGAGGAGGCAGGAGCAGTTTGCCAGTTAGGCTGAACACCCAGCTGTTTGTTCTTCTGTCCCACTGACTTGTCTACGAGTCTGTCATGTCCTGTCCTGATCACTTGGTTTATAGCTGCCTATCCCAGCAGCCCCTATTGTAAGAGGGCCGCTGTTCTGTTGCTGAACTGCTACGGCACTGCAGCCCCCCACAAGTAAGAGAAAATTACTCGGCAACCTGCCAGAGTCTGGTCTGTGTCACAGGCGCGAGAGATCTGGATCTACCCTGAGATGAAATGCCTGCAGGTGCCAACAGGCAGACAGGAGTGAGAAGAGACTCACTCACCAATAGAAATGACCAAACGCAGAAATGGACAGGGCTGACCCACCGCACAGCTCCAGAAAAGCAAGCTCTAAGCCTCCACCCGACTCGCGCTGGGCGATGAAGTTAACCGCTCTGTTCCACACGACGGAAGCGGTTCGCAAGCCTTACCGCACCACCGAAGAAAAGCTCACAGGGCGACACCCGTTGCAGGCTCACGGCGGGGCGCTGTGGGACCTCCCCCCCACCCCACTGCTGGACAGTCATTCAGATGTGAACCACCCTAGTGAGAACTGTGTTAGCAGCTCTCAGGGCCACAGCAGCGTGACTGACATCACGCCCGCTAAAATCAAGCACAAGAAACGGAGAGAATGAACCCGATAACCCCTCGGGTCCCTTGTTTCAGACACTGTAATTCTGCATCTTTACTGTGAGGGTCCACATTCTCTCTTATCTTATAAGGATGGGCCAGACCCGCTCCTGAGAAGTGGGGGAAGGCTTTCGAGAGCACATTCAGCGGGTACTGTGGTGGGCAGGGCTCTGGAATGAGCCAAGAACGGGGTTTGTCCTATGAAGGGGCCACACGGCTGCACAACTTCCGGTGGCTCGTGTCCGTTCTTGATTCTCGTGGGAACGGAGCTTGTTCCCGCCCCCATTCCTGTGGTGACGGTCCATCGCTGTAGCAACGCTGTCAAGTGACTCCAGAGAGCGGTATCTGATTTCACGTCCGGAAAGCGACCTGTGGGAATTCAACGCGTACACACCTCCTTTCCCGGGGTGCTCTTTCACGTCCTCCCGACCCCCTCGCCCGTCAAGGAGCGATGGCGCTGTGGTTAAGGCTCTGCGCCTGTGGCTGGGAGGTTGTCAGTTCAAATCCTGCAGCCAGCCGAGGAATCCCAACTCCCGTGGGCCCCTGACCAAGGCCCTTCACCCCCAGCTGCTCCAGGGGTGCTGTATAAATGGCTGACCCTGCGCTCTGACCCCCAGCTTCTCTCCCTGTCTGTGTGTCTCATGGAGAGCGAGCTGGGGTCTGCGAAAAGACAAATTCCTAATGCAAGAAATGGTACATTGCCAATAAAGTGATCTGATCTTACCTGATCTGCCTGTTCGTCTCCCTTCTCTAAAGAAACGATTCAGAGCAGAGTGGAGGTGGACGCAGGGGCCAGTGTGGCACACGAGAGAGCGTCTGTCCGCCTGCCCCTTTGTTACTGTGGCTTTCCTCCTGTTTCTTATTCTTTCATAACTGGTGTGATATTTAAATTCTGGAATCTGTGTAGAAGGGGAAGCATTAATTAAAAGCCCTTAGTACCACATTTCTTGCATAACATTGGAGACTGAACAATATATTGGAGACTGAATTTATGTAAGTAAGGAGTGTCTCTGGGGTCTGTAATAATTCCTTACTTGCACTATAGCACTTTTCTGTACACTCAAAGTTTTTCACAGGTCATGGGGATCCCCTCCAGTGTCCCCCCCCCACCTGGATGAAGCTCCAGTCTGCTCACACACAGCAGCTCTCAGTGGGGAGGAGAGCAGAGTGATGGAGCCAGTTCAGAGAGGGGGGGTTGTTAGGAGGCCATGATGGGTAAAGACCAGGGGGAAATTTGGCCAGGACACGCCTACTCTTCGAGAGACGCCCTGGGATTGTTAATGACCACAGAGAGTCAGGACCTCGGTTTTACGTCTCATCCGAAGGATTGAGCCTTCTCATAGTTTAGTATCCCTGTTGCTATACTGGGGCATGAGGACCCACACAGAACTGCACGGTGAGCACCCCTACTGGCCCTAATAACACCTCTTCCAGCTGCAACCTTAGCTTTCCCAGGATTCTCCCATCCAGGTACTGGCCAGGCTCACACCTGCTGAGCTCCAGTGGGGCTGTCAGTTGTGAGGTGTGGGGTGACATAGCTGCTGGCTATATGACTCCTATATGTATTAGGGTCTGTATTAATCTCTGCGTCTCTGCGGTCTGTATTAATCTCTCTGTGTGAGGAGTGTCTCTGGGGTCTGTATTAGGGTCTGTGTTCATCTCTCTGTGTGAGGAGTGTCTCTGGGGTCTGTATTAGGGTCTGTATTAATCTATGTGAGGAGTGTCTCTGCGGTCTGTATTAATCTCTCTGTGTGAGGAGTGTCTCTGGGGTCTGTATTAATCTCTCTGTGTGAGGAGTGTCTCTGGGGTCTGTATTAATCTCTCTGTGTGAGGAGTGTCTCTGGGGTCTGTATGAGGGTCTGTATTAATCTCTCTGTGTGTGGAGTGTCTCTGGGGTCTGTATTAGGATCTATATTAATCTCTCCGTGTGAGGTGTGAATCTGAATTAGAGTTATATGTGGCTCACTGTGTTCTGTTTGTCCCTGGATCCTTTTTAGAGTCTGGGAGCTCAGCAGATAAAAAAACAAAACTAGTCAGTTGATCATGATTTGAAGTTTACTGATGAAAGAACCCCTCATAACACAGTACCAGCAGCACTAGCGCTCACTGCAGCACACTGCGGTACACTTCCGTCGTCGGTGTTCGGCGTGAGTTACAGCAGCGCGGGCAGTCCGGCCGCCAGCAGCAGCGCCAGGGGCGCGATGGCGGGTGAGCACGCGGTGCACTTGTAGGAGCTGTCGGTGTTGATGCCGGAGGACGTGTAGGTCACGAACCCCGGCGCCGGGGAAGAGCCGATCTGGGCCTGGATCCAGGCCTTGTACTGGGACACGCGGGTGTACACCCCAGGGAGATTGGGCCGGGCACAGCCCTGTCCAAAGCTCACAATACCAGCCTGGACCCAGACGGAGCTCTGCTTGGACACCAGGGGGCCTCCGGAGTCTCCCTGCAGAGAGAGAGGGAGTGGGAGGAGAGGTTGTCGGGTGGTTTTTCAGATCTTTGTCTTTCATTTCAGGTCATCTTGCCTGGGTAGGATTCAGCTGCTGAGCTGAACGGTGCATGTACAGTAGTCTGCTTCTGGGTTATTTACATGATCTTTATGTTAAACATTCATTATGTATGTCACTTCCTCACCACTAGTAATAATGATTTCAGGGTTAAGTGCAGCATGTTAAAGTGAGCACTAGTTTTGCTGGTATGGTATAGTATTATGATGTATAATGAACTTCCAGTCATGATTGATTGACTAATCTTTGATTAACTAAACTCCCTGAATCTAAAAACAGAGACTAAAAAGACAAAGGGACAAACAGAACTCAGAGAGCCACATATAAACCTAATTCAGACACACCTTACATACAGATCCTCATACAGACCCCAGAGACACTCCTCACACAGGGAAATTAATACAGATCCCAGAGACACTCCTCACATAGAGATTAATACAGACCCCAGAGACACTCCTCACACAGAGAGATTAATACAGGCCCTCATACAGACCCCAGAGATACTCCTCAAACAGAGAGATTAATACAGACCCCAGAGACACTCCTCAAACAGATTAATACAGACCCTAATACATATACAGTAGGAGTCATATAGCCAGCACTTATGTCACCCCACACCCCACAGCTCACCCTGCAGTTCTGTGTGGGTCCTCATGCCCCAGTATATATTAATACAGACCGCAGAGACACTCCTCAGACAGAGATTAATACAGACACTAATACTGTATAGATTGTATTAAAACTAATGCAGACTCGTATACACATATTTTACCATTTAAATATCACGCCAATTCTGAAAGAGTAAGAAGCAGAAGAGAGGACAGAATCTCAGAGGCAGTCAGGCTTTGCCTGTGCTACCTGGCAGGAGTCTTTGCCCCCCTGTCTCAGTCCAGCGCAGATCATGTTACTGGTGATGTTGTATTCAGAGTTCAGGCATCTGCACTCCTGGTTTCCAATCACTGGCAGCTGCACCTCCTGCAGGGCACCTTGTTGTGGCAAAGAGCCTGCAAGAGACGAGAGGCTCCTGGTCACCTCTTTCCCCAGCGAGTGCTGAGGGTATCTGCAGGGGAGTCCCTCCCTGTTGTGTGCTCGGCCAGCTTGTAGAAAACCATCTGCATCTCATTGCTCTGTGAGTCTATGAGTCGAATGTGTTCTGTTATATTCTGTCTGGAGTGTCCCCAAGGAGGACAGTGATTAGCAATGCAGCCTCACAGTGCAGGGGCCCCGGGCTCAGTCCCGGACCTCGGGGTGCTGTCTGTGTGGGATTTGTATGATCTCTGCATATTCGCTTGAGTTTCCTCCCACAGTCCAAAGACAGGCCGGTGGGTTAATTGGCTTCTGGGAAAATTAAATAAATAAATCCTCACACTTAATAGCACTTTTCTGGACACTCCACTCAAAGCTCTTTACAGGAAATGGGGAATCCCACTCCCACCACCAGTGTGTCCCCCCCACCTGGATGAAGCTCCAGTCTGCTCACACACAGCAGCTCTCAGTGGGGAGGAGAGCAGAGTGATGAAGCCAGTTCAGAGAGGGGGGTTATTAGGAGGCCATGATGGGTAAAGACCAGGGGGAAATTTGGCCAGGATGTCGGGATGACACCCCTACTCTTTTCGAGAGACGCCCTGGGATTTTTAATGACCACAGACAGTCAGGACCTCAGTTTTATGTCTCATCTGAAGGACGGCGCCTTTTTACAGTCTAGTGTCCCCGTCACTATACTGTGGCATCAGGACCCACATAGACTGCAGGGTGAGTGCAGCCTATTGGTTCCAATCCCACCTCTTCCAGCAGCAACCTTAGTCTATGTGGGTCTCAATACCCCACAGCCAGGTGGTTCAGTCAGTCTCTAGCGCAGATATCTGGAACAACCCTAGATCCCCTACTGGCCCCTCTAACACCTCTCCCAGCAGCAGCCTCAGCTTTCCCAGGAGTCTCCCAGCCAGGTACTGACCAGACTCACTCCTGCTGAGCTCCAGTGGCGCTGCCTGTGCTGAGCTGCAGGGCGACATGGCTGCTGGCTAAAATTGGCCCTGTTGTGAGTGTGTGTGCCCTGTGAAGGACTGGTGTCCTGTCCAGGGTGTACCCAGCCTTTTTCCTGTTGCTTGCTGGGAGGGGCTCTGGCTCCCCAGCGACCCTGAGTTGGATGGAGCCCTTAGAAAATGGAGGGATAGATGGATGGATGGAGTGTCCTAAGGCCCCCCTGTGGTGGCCTAAAGCGACACAGACTCTGCAAGATGCGGCTGCTGTGCTGCTCTGGTTCTGTCTTCAGCGCGCAGGTCTGTTTCTGCTCTTCCGTTCTTCGGGTCCGGTCGGTCTGCTCAGCCCTGGCAGCAGTGGGGACTCACCTCCCTCTGCAGTCGTGCCATAGCCAGTGACCCAGCAGCTGGTCCCAGTGTAGAAGGAGCTGCCGCTGTCGGCCAGACAGACGGGCTGGATGTAGCTGGTGAAGGAGACGGAGCTGCTCAGCTTCAGCAGGGCGACGTCGTTGTTGAAGGTAGTGGGGTTGTAGCTTGGGTGAACAATGATCTGCTGGACACTTTTGGCTACTCCGTTAGTGCTGGCCAGAGACAACTTCAGCCAGCCCAGATACACCATCCAGCTACTGGGAACGCTGCTTCTGCACAGAGAGAGCAGTTGTGAGTGTTAATAATAATGATTCATAATAATTCCTCACACTTACATAGCGCTTTTCTGGACTCTCCACTCAGAGCTCTTTACAGGTAATGGGGAATCCCACTACCGCCACCAGTGTGTCCCCCCACCTGGATGAAGCTCCAGTCTGCTCACACACAGCAGCTCTCAGTGGGGAGGAGAGCAGAGTGATGGAGCCAGTTCAGACAGGGGGGTTATTAGGAGGCCATGATGGGTAAAGACCAGGGTGAATTTTCACCAGGACACCGGGGTAACACCCCTACTCCTTTCAAGAGACGCCCTGGGATTTTTAATGACCACAGAGAGTCAGGACCTCGGTTTTACGTCTCATCTGAAGGACGGAGCCTTTTTACAGTCTAGTGTCCCAGTACAGTGTTAGTCTGTCTCCTGTCACCAGCGGTCCGGTTCCTCGGGGTTGACAATGATACTACAGGTGTCAGTGACAGGTGTCATCCTGTAGTTAGAATAGCTCTTACATTTATTTCATGGGTAGGTCAGATGTTCTTGTGTCTCCTTACCCTGCGAAGCAGTGCGCAGCAGACAGCACCCACTGATTGTTGATCAGAGACCCTCCACAACTGTGACTCCCCCTCAGCTGCAGGCTGGCCTGCCAGGGCCAGTAGCCCTCCAGGGCAGACTGGCCCCCTACGATGCGGGTGTTGAGGGGTGCCCGTCCACACACTGGAAGGAAGTTGGACATTTCTCTTGGTTTTTTCAAAATGATTTCACAATTCACGATGTGAGCATGACATCTACAGAAGGGGATCACTGTAGCCTGACTCTCCTGTCCCCCTACAGCGATTCCTGTACCCCAGCTTTTGTGTACCCCTGCTGTGGTGTGCATTGTACCCCGACACTCCTGTACCCCTTTTTTAGAGTTTGCTGTAATCCACATCTTGTACCTCTGCTGTGATTGTGCTGTACCTTGACTCTCCTGTACCCCAGCTGCGGTGTGTGCTGTACCCCAACTGTCCCATACCCCAGCTGTAATGTGTGCAGTCCCCCAAATCTCCTGCACCTCCCGTTGCGTTGTGTGCTGTACCCCTACTCTCCTGTTCTCCAGCTGCTGTACCCCAACTCTCACATAGTGTACCACGTACGAGAAGGCTCTGTTGTGAAATGAAGGGCAATAAACGATATTCACTCCATTTAGTGTCTCTAAGTACAGAGACTGAAGTGCGCTGCGCGTCGGCCAACGGCCTCTCTCTTAGAGCACATCGGAGTCAGGACTCACCACTGCTCTGAGCGTCAGTCCCTGAAAAACACAATGAAAGACAAACCGCTGGTGAAACACTGGAGCCACAGACAGCAGTATTACCTCCACGTTTGCCAAAAGAACACGATCCAGAGGCACAGCAGTCCGTTTGAACTGTGGATAATAGCTGCCTGCAGGGCCGGCTGTTAATGACAACATCACATCTTGCATGCTGGGAGCAGTGGAGCATGCTGGGAATGAGCCAGCCTCACATTGTTTCCCTCCCTCTGTGTGGAAGGAGTCTGAACCAGGCAATGGAGGAACATTGGCCGAACTTGTGAGCTCATGCTCGGATCCTTCTTACTTGATCCCTCAACCCTAATGGCTATGTTTATTATGGCTTGATAACGCTACTTAAAGTAATATTTAGTAATGTAATCAGCAGTAATAATAGCAGTAGTAATAGAAATATCAGCAGGAGTAATAATAATATCAGCAGCAGTTGTAGTATGAGCAGTTGTGATAATTGTCAGTAGTAACAATATCAGCGGATGTAATAGTACTATCAGTAGCAGTTATAGTATTCACAGTAGTAATAATTACAATAGTAATGTAAGCAGCAGTAATAATTGCTGTAGCAGTAGTAATAATAATATCAGCAGAATTAATAATATCAGTAGCAGTTGTAATATAAGCATTAGTGATAATTGCAACAATATAAATATAAAGTAAGCAGCAGTAATAATTACAGCAGTAGTAATAATATCAGCAGAAGTAATAATACTATCAGTAGCACATGTAGTATTACCAGTGGTAATAATTGCAACTATAGTAATTTAAGCAGCAGTAATAATTGTAGCAGTAGTTATACTGTAGTAATGTCAATAGTAGTAATAGGAATAGTAAAAGTAATATTTGTAGCAGAATTAATACCTGTTGTAGTAGTAATAACTATTAACAGCGGTAAAAGCAGTAGGTATAACTATAGGAGGAGTAGCAGTAGGTTCATTAATAGCTGTAGTGGTAGTAGTAATAGTTGTAGGAAGAGTAATAGCAGTAGAAGTAATAGCTGTAGGAGGAGTAGGAGCAGTAGTGACAGTAACAGCTGTAGGAGGAGTA